ACCTTCTTTAGGTCAGCAACAAAAATCCTCATAGCTGGGCCCAGCAAGATGGCTCAGCCTAGTTAGGGCTGCTTTGATGGCATTTTAGTGATGCTAAGGTGAATCAAAGGTGCCATAGGACCAGTGAAACCACCCATCTGCCCAACATTCTGCATGCTTCCTGCACTGTCGAGATGTGGCCAGGGCCGTTGGAACCCACCTTGGCAGCTGCTCTGCTCTTCACTTATCAGTGTCCATGTTAGGTCTTCAAAGAAACACCAAGCAAAAATATATCTGTCATGCAGTCCCCAGGCAAGCTTTTAAACCATGTGCATTATCAGGGCATCTCTGAACAAATAAATAGTACTTCTTCCCCATAATTAGAAACACTGGGGCACTGACAAGTAAAAATGCCAAAGGTATGGAATTTCTAGCATTGCACAGCTCTGTCAAAAGACAGCATACCCCCGATTCACTCTACTCCAACGGACCAGTTTTGCATGTACACACAAATATACACACACACACAGTTCTCTCTACAAAATACTGGCAGATCAGTCATCCTCCCAGTGCTGTCTGATTAGAGGCTTAAAATATTCTTCTCTCAAACCAGACCATAGAGTTAGCACCTGTTGCCATGCCCTCCCACATCTGACCACAGAGTCACAAACAGGATTGCACCTGTCGTCTTCTCTGGTGACCACCATTTAGTTTGGAGTACCCAAGATGTCTTCTCCAGCAGCAAAGAGCACTTCTGGTTGAGCCATAGAAACAGCTTTCTGGGCGAGATTTCCATCACACTGTTTGTAGAAATCTCCCTTCCCTCCTTGGGAACAACCCAATTTAGGAAGGCTGTCTTGCGGAAGCATCCTCTCCCAAAGGTCTCTAGTTAGACTGGTCCATGCAAGTTGCTTCTGACAACCAAACTTCCCACTCACCCCCTCCCCGCATGGTGATTTAAAACTGTTTAACAGCTGCAGGCTCAAGCTTTGCCAGTGCAACAAAGCAGATTTTGTCCATAAGCAAGACTCATTACAGTTAGCAGCTTAGCCATGCCTCTGTTGTACAGGTAGCGGTTTATCTACACCCACTAGTTGCTCTTCCTGGTTGTTTTTTCTAACTTCCCACTATTCCAGAAGGAACAGCAGCATCCAGTTATCACCACTAATAGAAAATACCTCATCATTCCAGGGAAGGGATTACATGGTGATGTTTCCCGCAGCAGCAGAGCCCTTGATTCACACCAGATCCCAGTGTGCAGCTCTCCCACTAATACCAGCCCTGACCACAGTACAGTGGGGCTCCTCCTGATCCTGGGCGTCCCTCCTATGGAGTCAGGGTGTAACCAGGGCACACAACTACATCAGAGAAGCGTTTTTCAGGTCTTGCAGTTTAGACAATGGCTTTGTGAAACAGCAGCTCCTTTCCATGGCTGTGTTTTCTACAAAGAGCCATCCCCACCCAGTTAAAGGCTGAAGATCACGGGATAGCAACGTGTTGCCACATAAGGACACACCTAGTCGTTACAAGCCAAACGTTCCTGCGGCAAAAGTTGTTAAGTAGACCAAGCTCCACTAGACTGTCAGACCAGTTCAGAAAATACCCGCCAGCTGGGACACCACAAGACTTCTTTCAGCAGCTTAAACAAACCTCATCCCTTGGTTATTCTCTAGCCATCTTCCACTCCCTTACTGTTGTGTCCAACCTAAAATAAGCCGTAGGTAAGTCTTAACCTCAACATACCATTTAATGAACACAGTTCTCAAAGCATAGTAGCATTTTCCTCACAATGCTTTGTCGTGGTCTGTCTAGTTCAGAAATCAATTTTCAAAGTCAAGTCTTTACTGCTGTGGACACCCACCGGAGCCGAATCCTACAAAGAGGTAAGAGCTGCTCACTTACTTCACTTTTTTGATAATCTTTAATCTTGCAAAAGAAACTTTCCTGTTTCCATAGGAGTTCATGCCTAGCAATCACTATTCCAAAAACATATCTTTCTGGTATAATTCTTTTTGCTTTATAAAAGTTTAAAAAATAAAAGTAAAGGTCATATGCTAATTTGACATTTCAAAATCATACTCAAACCTGAAGCTTCATAAAAGTAAGTTTGATTATGACACTTGATGTACTCTACATATAGAAGAAGCTTAAAATTACTTTTTATTGCTTCATAAACTGATTTTTTTTGCAGTAAGACATAATTTTAAAAGGACTTAAGTAATGGTGAACACCTAACCAAAGATTTTTTTTACTATTGTCCTGCTAAAATAACAGCAGAGGTACCAAATAAAGTACTTTATGAAAAATCTTGACCAGTCACGGTTCTCACTTCACCAAACTGCCACAAAAAGAATTTACAACTGAAAAAAACTTATCCTTTGTCAATGTTTTTAGTGAAATACACACTTCACCTATTTTTCCTTGGAATGTGTGAATTTTAACATGCCAAAATAGAAAAGCCGAAAATTTATTTAAAAATGGGGGGCAAACACCTATTATTTCTTAAGAACACTGAAGATGCGCGTAATACCTAGGCTGTTAATTATCATATTCACCTCAACATCTCATTACTGTTCTGCATTCCCCCATCCTTATCTTCTCCCTTCTTCTTTCATTTCTTAACAAGTTTGGAAACTCTTCAGGGCAGGTTTCCTTTTTTATACAGGGGATATCTTTCTGCCACAAAAGCAATATAGAGCAATTGATATAGATAATATTACTCTTTTACAAAAGGAAATTGGATCTTAAATTGTCCTTTTATACTAGCAGGCTTCACTCGTCACTAATTTTTCAGTATGCTTTAGATTCTGCCTCAGAGGAATCAGCTGACACTGAAAGATCTGATGGCTGGTTAGGGACAGCTGGGATTTTGGACAGCTACAAAAGTGTAAGAAGCTATTTAAATTATGAATTAAGCATAACAGGCCAACAATTATGTTTAAAAGATGACTGAAACTACCAACTGTTAATACCACCATGAGATTTCTGAGTTAGCAACAGAGTTATATTGAACCCCCTCCTGAGAAAACCCAATAGTTTCATGTTGGCTGCAGATGTAGAACACCACTTCTGCCATATTCACAAGGCTTTCTTCATAGACAGAGTGCTGGAAAAGTAGCAGAGCAAAAAGCTGTATGAGGCACAATTTTGTAACTAGTTATATCAGTATCATGCATTACTTAGACTCCAATCTTCAACTTTTGATTTCCAGTCTGAGACAGCCTGCCCCCTACATACAAACCAGACGCAGGAGGCTGGATTCCCAGCTACTGGAATTAGCTGCTCAGCTTCTGAGCACGGCAGCTCAGAAACAGAGGAAGGGCTAGAAGGCTGTGACTTGCAAAGGGACTCCACAGAAAAGAGATTAAACAGGTCATCAATTCTTAAACAGCTTGAACATCATTCCCTTAGAAGGAGGAAAAAGGTAGTTTCCTGACCTCTAAGACTGTTCATGCCTTTCCTTTATTTGCAATTACAAGATAGTCTAGAGCCAGTCACAGCAGCGGATGTAGAACAGACAATATCGTCATTTCTTCTGTTTTATGGAGTGCAAAGGGAAAACAAGATATGTACAGCAGTTATGACTTACTCCATACTTGAATCTCATACACTCATAGCTGAGACCATCGTGGGAGGCGAAGTCTGCCTAGGAACTCAAGAAGCTCCAGGTAGGGAATGTCTTGTAAAATTGAAAGCAAATAAAGAACCTCCTTAACCCTTATAGCTATAGGTAAGATTGCTTATGTACTGACAGTTTAAAAAGTAGGCTAAATAAAATCACACAGCAAGAAGTGCTTGCCTGGTAACTACCTTCATGTTACTTTATTTACTTATTGTGAGTACACATTTAACTGTTAGTGGGGGGGGAATGGAAAAAAGCATTTCCCTTGTTTTGTTAACTCTACTGCTCCAATAGGGAAAACATGAAATCAAATGGTAGTACAGAAACTGGGTCTGCAAATAAGACACTGACAAGTTTTTATTTTAACTTTTATTACAAAATTATTTTTAAAAAGCTGCTAACATTTAATTTCAAAAGGTTCACAACTACCAAAAAGGAAATTAATGTCAAGAACGTATGCAATGCATTTTTTTCCCCATTATAAACAGTCACAACTCAGGACCCTGCCATCAGGAAAATCAGCTTGTCCAGCAGCTCTGCTTCTACTGCTGCAAATGGGTAAGTGGCAGAGGCTTCATTAAGTCTCCTTTTTTCAAAGTACATATACAGGCAGCAAAGGACACACAAAGTGTACCATTCTTAAAAAGAAAGAGATCATTTTTATGCTAGCTGAAAAAAATAGTTCAGCAGTATGGCTTTTTAATGTTACAAGAACATAAAGAATGAGAGTTTGTAAAACACTTACAATCTGTTAAAATTTCAGTTAAATCTAACAGCTTCATATGGAGAATTTTTAAGATGATCATTTACAACGAATTCGAAGAATTATCACCACATACAGAAAGGCAGAATTGCTGACTGCTTTAAAAGTGTAATTCTACATAGAACGTGGTCAGTCAACAATTTATTTGCCAATTAACACAAGCGCTGCTCCTTTTATTTCCTCTGAGGTACAGAGATACAAACATGTAGGAAGATACATTGCCTTCATAATTATTTCAGTTCAAAATCCACTGTTTTGCAAAACCAATTGTCTTTAAGGAAATGGATGTAATTCAGAACTATTCCACCATTGCCACTCTTTAAAAATAATACAAGTGCAACATTGTAGCACTTATGATGCTCAGATTTGATAGCTGCAGTGAGAATACTTTAAAATATCTTTGCTTGAGGTTTGAAAAAAAACACTCTAACATCAGTATTTAACTATCTCAGGATCACCAAAATAAAGCACAAGCTTGTACAAATGGAGATACCATTAAACAGATATCTTGTCACTTCAAGAATTTTAACTAAAGTGCAATTGGTTTTACATCTGTGTGCACCACCAGTAACAAAGGCAAGTCCAAGAGTCTGCTGGGAAGGCACAGAATTTCAGAACTAAGCTACAAGACCCAACTCAGTTTTGATTCTGCAGAAGAGTGAAATAATCAATGTGCTGAAACTTCAAAACCTCGTTTCCCCAGCTGGTCCAGCCAGGCTGTAGGTTGCGAGCAAACAGCTCCAAGCACTCCACATCTGGCTTGATAAACTCTGACAGAACCACTGTGCAAGAGAAAAAAAAGAAGATAAGAAGAGTGACAAAGGTACAAATAACAAGAGTAAACAAAATCTCCCCTGTGCTGCTAGTGGATGAAAACCGGAATGTTTCATTAAAAAAGGGAAAGACAGCAAATTAATTTCAGGGGTTTCATCAAGCAGCTGGACTATTTATAGTGAGAAAGACATTTTAAGTAAGTGCCCTTGAGATTCTGAACAATACTGTCAAGGCCTTCAATAGCCTTGATTTATTGGTTTTCATATAGAGAAAGGGAATGAGGATTTATTCCAGCTTGTACATAGATGAGTTCTGAATTTTTCACTAATATCAACCAAAGACCTCCTAAAGACTCACTTAGCTCATATAAACAGGGGCAAGACTTCTAAAAATAAAAAATAAAACCTTTCCTTAATTAAGATCACACTCTTTTCCTCTGCATGAAAGGGGGCAAAAGCATTTTTTGATGGCAACTGTTAAAAGGTAAAATAAAAAATACCAGTTAAATAAACATAGCACTAAAAGCACTATAAAAATGCAGGGACTTCTTTTTCCCCAATACCAATTTGGCAACTGAAGAAATATTTATATTAAATATCTCACATTTCTTCTACAGTTGGGTATTTTTACTGCTTAAATCCAAAAGAATAGATGCTTGTTATTAACATCAATTGCGTCACCGATTATGACTGGTATTCCTGGAGTGACAGAAAAAGATCTTGCATTTCACCTGAAAAGTATTATTGCACACAGTTTATTGTTAAACATTATACTTGTCATATAGAGACATTTCGTTTGTAGTTGGGTCAAACAAATTCCTAACTACTTTTCAGAAAATGGCTTCAAGGATACTATGTATCAAAACATGCATGAGAAAAGCAAATGGTTAAGGAGTACCCAACACAAAGGAGGCAGAAAGACTGAAAAACATATCTACACTAAAAATTACATGTTAAGTTTTTATTTTTGTGACTGAGGACGAAAGAAGAAAAACTAAGAAACCATTTCCTTTTCCAAAGAATATCTTGGTCACTCTCGTTCAGATCTCCCAGTGGTTTCTAAATTTCTGTAGCTTAAAAATATAGCTCATAAATCTAACATTATGTTGCTTGACTCAATTTCTTCAGATATGATAATTTCAGAAAACAAAAATACACCCAAAAAGCATACATCAAAGCATGATAGGGAAAGCTTTATTTTTGGTGCAATCCAAGTCCTGACTTTTTGCACCAGGTTCACCAGTCACAGAGTCCCTATGTGAGACCCGAGCTGATCTTGTCACAGATTGCTCCTGTTGCAGTAAAATGAGCATCGACTTCACTTCCTACTGAGCATTAACCAACCCCAGATGCATTTCCTACCTCACCTCTTCCACAGCTTCAATCCATTCAAAACTTTTTCTTAAATATCTTACAATGGGTGTTTCCAGACTGTCTTGTATTTTGGCATGGCAGATAAATCTATTCTTCTTCCTCCAATCTTTAACTAATGTCAAATGAATGTCTCAGATGGGTTACCATCAAGGCAGCTTTTCATCTAAAAAAATACTGCTTAGGAATCTCATTCTAAAAACCTGCTTCTTTTAGAGGCAAGATAAAATGTTCAAACAAATCTAACATTTGCAGAGAAGAGTCTGGGAGGTTTAGAGGAAAACGTACATTCCAACAGAAAATCTGCTGCACTGAACAGTGCTGTTTGGTGTCATGGGAGTTCATCTAATTAGACACCATTTATGAGTAGCTGCTTTTATACCTTTTGAAAACCTACCACATTACAAAAAAATAAGTGGCAATGTTTTTACATGTTTTATTTAGTTAAGGATTTCTTGTGCACAACTTGCTGACAACATTTTAACAAAGGTCTTCCAAAAATCTATTCTCTCGATCATGTAAGAAAGCCCATGTCACAGGAGTCTGCACTTTTTTTCCACAGAAGAGAAGGGAGAAACTGTGGATAGCAAAGCTTCGAAGCTTTCAATAAGCCCTTTGTGAGCAGATTCTGATCTTTAGGACATCTTTCAACTCTAATGTGCATAAGATCACACAGAGCTTACTGCAGAGTCCAGGCTTTATATGACTTTTTCCCCCCTAAACATATAAAAACAAAATAGAAGCATTTTATGTTTTATATATGGGCTTCTAAGTAGAGAAAGCAATTATTTACGTGAAAAAAATTTCATTAACAGCACATTAGTAATGTTGACATTTGTTCTTTAAAATGTATAGATTAAAAATATCATCATGGCACTAAGTCAAGTAATCAAAAGCAGTTTTACTAAGCACTAAAAAATTTCATGCCTGAAGAACAAATTTTAAAAGTATACTTAGTAAATTCAACCAATCTCAAAGAAAGAGGTAGCCAAAAAATGGTTCAGGTCAGCAGGAGAAGGAAGCCTGTGCCAATTTTTCATTCAATTTGGTTAGAGAATTTATAAAGGAAGTCTCAGGAATCTCCCTCTCTCCTGCTGTCAGAGAGGGCATCTTTTTTAAAGTCAGAGCTTTTTTTAAAAACAGAGATAGATTACATATAATTCAAGATCACAGTACAGTACAATTTTTCATTGCTACGTTGTAGATATTTACATAATCACATCAGGCAGTAACGTGCACTGCAACAGAAATTACCACATCAAGAGGGCAATAACATGTCTGTATTTTGTTGGCATAAAATCTCATTATACTTGTTTCCTTAAAATAGGAAAAGTCAGTATTCAAGTTATAAATTATAGCTGCATTGTTAGGCTTTTATATCACCAGAAGGCTACCTTAGCACACATGGATCTGACTCCCAGCCCTTAAGCAAACTTTGGAGTTCTTTCCTCTGACAACAGGTTAGAGGATCTACATCAGCTGAAAGATGAAATACTAAGTTTTTCTACAATAGGAAAAAAATTTTTAAAAAAACCACCACATTTACTTCTATCTGTTTACAACAAACAGCTTAAACGGACAACAAACAGATTACTCTTTATCACTTGTGGGTGTAATAAACACTACGACAGCAACACAGGCACCTACACTTGGGCATGTAATGCCTTGGGAGGGACACACGAATCTAGCACAAAGCTGGCTGGTAGATACAACAGGGGTCTTCCTAGAAAACCCGCTTTCTTCTGAATCACAATCCAGGGGTCAGGCAGGATACCTGCCATACCTGCTTGTTCTTAATCACAAACATGTATCGAAGATACAAGCTGCTAAAAATGTTTAAACAAGCAAAAGAAAGATTCATTTTTGAAAAAAGCAACGGTTTCCCCTTACCTTTTGAACTTCCTAACCTAAATAGCAAGTTCTGCAGAACAAATTGGATGCATAAAGTGAAAACTACTCTGCTGGCCTTTTATCGTCTGATTTGTGAGCCATACAAAGCATACGATTGAACTCATTTCATAACAACCCTTCAAAACAGTTTGCAATGTAGAGGTCATTATTGCCCAGTTTGCCTAATCCCTGAACAGAGGTAGGGTGAGAAAAAGATTTGAAACTCAGCACAAAGACGGCTTTACACTTCAAGTAAAAGTTGAAGAGCTTCAAGTTAAACCCAGACATTGATGTAACTATCAATTAGTCTAATAGTAAGGGCTCATGAGGTGCACAAGGAAACTAAAGGGAATTACTTCTTTTTACTTCCAAGAACACAGCCTAACAAGCCAGGGTTGCTACAGGAGAAGGAGGTTCCCAAGATTTCCCATTGCACTCTTCTGCTGGAGATACGCAAAGCAGCTAGAACATAGCCAAGAACTAATTCTAATGTTTTCAGGCATACTCTTATATGACAATATCATTTTCTAGCCATAAACGTACATACTTAAAAACTGGAGGAGAAATGTCTATAATAAAAAGAACCTATAAAACAGGAAAAGGAAAAAACATTGTTTGAAGTTCTACACTACTTCACATTGTTTGTGTAACAGAATACCTTCTATGTTGTCTAAGAGCAACATTGAATCAAATTAGGAAGAAAACCTGCTGTTATTTGAATCAAAACCAGAAGTAATAAAATTTCATTTTAACGCATTTACATAAAGAAGCTTAAGTACATTTATAATGATGTATTAAAGCTCTAAGCATCGAACACAGCACATGCATCACCAAAAACCCCTACAGTCCCAATTTCATGGTTAAATGCACTGTAGGAACCCAAACATCTCTTTTTGATGGCTTACTTTAATTTAAATCTTTCTCATTCCCCAGAGAGATGAACTGTTAGAATCAGTCATTAAGTGGCTACATATGTACAAATATACAGCATTTACAGTAGTAACAAGAAATAAAGTGCCAGACAGCAACAATAAATATTAATATTTTTGGCTTTGTTACTACTTCAACAAAAGCATAAAGAATGTCTGTGACTCATCAAGTGTCCTTCTCTCCCATTGCAAGATCTCTGCTTCTGTTCAATTTCTTCTGAACCACTGTAAGATGTGACTGAGCTGCTCTCTACTGGTCACCTGAGAATACTGTCCGATCATGAAAGCGGATATAAGACCGAAGTTGAGGCATCAGCAATTAGCTTTTGTCTTTTGGTCTACCTCTTCATTCCATAACCACGCTCTGAACAGAGGTGCCAAAACTGTAGGATACACATGTATTTTTATAAAAACATTGTAAATCACTGGTATTGCTCAACAGCAAATTAATTTTTCAAATAGAAACATAAATGCTGCATAATTGTATCAAGTTGCAGCATTCAAGTAGGCTCAAATATATAAATCAGCACAGACAATTTCTTTCAAAACCCATTCAGGATCATCATATACAAAGGATTCCCCAATATGGTTTCTAGATTCTGCCCTGCAAAAGAGTTGCTCTGAGGACCATTCTGGCACTAGAATTCTCTAAAATACATACAAACTGCTGTTTTGCACCCTTGGATACCTCACAAGTTCCCTGTTTGCGTCTGAGTGTGCTGCCAAGTATTGGTTTTCTGAAGAGGCCCTAGGTGGCTGCCACACAAATCACTACCCTACCATTCATTAGCTTAAATCAACACACATACTTCCTGCTGTAGCCCTAATGCTTAAAGATGTGGCTTCAGAACTGCAAAAAGATCCTCCTAGAATTGCCTTTTTTTTTTTTATTTTTAGCCAAAGTATACATCTTCTACTAGTTTTTGAACATGTGTATATATATATATATGCATGTTAATTTAATAAATACAAGCCCAAAATACAAATTATAGAGCCTCCCGGAACACATAACAACTGTCAGATCAGCTTCCTAACTGAAGTTGCTCTGTTCCTTGGGAACAGAAAAAGGAAAGCATGTAAGTGAAGCAAACTGTGATGCCTCTCGTCTCCAACAGCACTATGCATTTCTTCTACCTGCCTTTTCTGATGTGATTCCATAGTGCCATGTGCACCTGGAATATTTGCAGATTCACCATGAGTTTTCCTTGGGTGAGAATGAAACCATTTTTGTGAGAGGTATTAAATATGTTTCTTACCATAACACTGTAAGGCACTCAGGTGCTATAATGATGAAAGAAGTACAACTTTCTATTGATGAAATTAGTCAGAGTGCTCCAGAACAATGTGCAAAAGGTAACATATCACACAGAAATCTTCAAATCCTTTGGACTAAACTCTGAAAAGTTGAATTTATACCCACAATAACTGGCTGGCTCGAGTCAGTGCATCAATTTCAATAAATTAAATACAGCTCCTCAGAAATAAGCAGGGCATGCCTTATTTATTGCCTATTGTTAACAGCTTTAAAATAACTAAGTTTTTGGATTTAAAGGCACAACTGTACTGCAGGTGTATAAGCAACTCAGGCAGAAATAAAAACATTCCTTTCAGGATGACATAATAAAGAAAGAGGTTTCTGCCTTTATTAACTAAGCAAAAGATATCCAATTTATATATTCCCAAAGTTCCTCTGCCCTAAATGCACTTTAGGTCATTTGGCGCAACTTCATACATGCAGTATCTGTAAACTGTTCCCGCAGCATTTCAAAAACAAATTTTTAAAATGCAACTTCTTTGTGTGTTTTTTTGTTTGGTTTGCTTGATTGTTTTGTTTGTTCAGGGATTTTTTTACACATCTTCCCAAAATATTTACACAATAATGCATGAAGTTCCACCTTTCATACTCATTTTTGGAGACCAAGACATAGGTGCCTAACAACATTTTTAGAAATGTTGAGGAACCACAAGTCCTGCTGAGCAAAATTGCTTGGCATATGGGAAATTAAGGTATTTCATATATGTAACTCATTCTAGGTACATCATTTCAGACATCCAAGTCCAATACCCTACAGAAACATCACACATCAACAAAAACGTACCAGTAAGAGGGGGTTTATGTGAATGCAGACTGCAGGGTACGCTAACAATTAACTTATGTTCTGGAAGCGGGAGTACATCTTCAGATTTTCTGTTGTATAAATGAGAACAAGAAAAGAAGTGTGAGAATGAATACCACCAAATGCGATGCTGCAGCTCTCAGAGAGCTGCTTCAGACACGAGGTAACACACAGAATGTTCATTCAGAGTCAAACTTCAGATAAGTCTAAAGGAAGTTAAATGTTGCTCAGTCATAATATATAGAAGGACAGTTTATGAAATTACAGAAGCTTTAGACAAAACATGGTTAACAGTAGCTATACAAAGTCATTGAGAATAAAAAAATGTAGTCCTGTATGTTTTCATGTGTAGAAAAACACCAGCATCCCCAAAATGGTGTCAGCCTGTGCAAAGAATTCACAGTCCAAGAGAACCTGTCAGCAAAGTAAGCTCTGTCCACAAGGCTTTTATCTAAACCAGTTTCCCAACAGAGACAGATATAAGGAACAAAGGTTTCCATACTTTAATCCCATTAAAGCACTCCCTCATCCCAAAGCTAATAGGGTTATTTTTAGGTCCAAAATCAGCCAAAAGATGACATCAAGAGAAGATTTTGGGATACTATATTGTACAACGAGCAAGTGATACATACAAAGAGAATCCTAGCAGCCTCAAAAAAAGACATGTACCATAAATAGGCTGGCATACCTTAAGGCTTCCTTTTTGTCTCCTTGAACTCTCCCCAATACAAGAACTTCATAGGGCTTTTTATGTAAAGAATCCAAAGGCAATACAAATTCTCCAGCTCTAGTAATCTGATAAAAAAGAGTTAAATTGGATATTAAAATCTTCCACTATGTATTTTTTCAAGATATTTTCTTTGATAAAAAGGAAGATACTGATGATACCATACCCTTCAAATAGAACAACACATGGTAACAAATAGACAAATTATAAGAATATAGCCATAGTGCAAGTCCTCTCTGTTTCCAAGAAAGCAACAAAACAACTGAGAACTTACTTTTACCCAGTGCCACTCAGCAAGTGTTTTCACAGACCAATGAGGATAAAGTTCATCCTTCACAAAATGTAAGTGCTTCTGTCTGTTAGTCACCCACGTGACTACAAGACAATTTGGAGCAGCTAGTACTGGTACAGGAATTTGTCTGATTTGCCACGAAGATAAGTAGCTGTACCTATATGCCAATACAGTGAGAAAGCAAGTTAGCATACAACAAACATAAAAACTGCAAAGCAACAAAAATGGACAAAGAAATTACACAGCCAAGACATTTCAAGTACTATCTCCTGACAACCTAAGTCATAAAAATGGATCAAGACTGACACCCAGTGGCCAAATCTGATGGATTCTGATATAAAATCATTAGCGTATGTACCTAAGTTTTACTGAGCAGAACCTTCAACTACATATTTCCACTATTCCCCCAAATAAAGTATTATGAGTTTTGATTCTGAAGAAACCTTTAATCAATGTAACATTATTCTCTTCTCACAGTAAGCAATCTCTCTTCTGAATGAAAATGACAAGTGAGTCGCAAGTGCAAGGGCAACACTAATTTGACTGTCAAGTTAAAAGGTCATAAAAGAGTAATCACTTCTCAAATTATTTGCAGAAGTTAGTAATTATTTTTAATTTACTATGCATGGTAAAAGTTGTCTAGGTTACTCAGAACAGTTCTGCACATTTTTGAGATAACTGTGTGCTACATCAGTGAATACAGTATGCTTTCCAGATTCTGTCCTGTTCTACCATTTTTCTATTATGCTATTTTACACTATTAGTGAGTTACAATTTGTGGAACCTACATGTTGCAGCACCAAAAACACTGGCACATTGACTACTGGAATCAACAGCTACTGTCTGGGTACCTGGGATTCCTTTACAATGCAACAGTGAGAAGAACAGTGAGAAACAGGTCATGTATAAAATCCAAAATACCTCCTCAACTAGACTGCCCAGCGAAAACAAGACTCACAACCCAGAAGTGAAATGCTTAACAAAGATTAGCTGTCAACAAGGTAAATAATAGCAGTGAAAGCTCTTCCATCTTTTGCCTTTATTTTGTAAGGGAGAGAGGGCCTTGCTGGCTAATTCATGCTTATGAATAACTCCAATTTTCCTTTTAGTAACTTACATAGTTAAGAAATACACTTGAATGAGTTGAACTCTGGGCTTCTAGAGGTTTCTGTAGGGCTTTCAAAGTAAAAGCTACTAATCAGTCCCTGCATCTTCAAATTATGTCTTCATAACAAGCTTCAACAGCTACTGTAGATATTATTCTAGGAAATTGTAAGACCATATTTCCTTTGTGCACTTCTTTCACCATATACAATTCTATGGCAATCAAGAGAGTTCCACTGGCATAAGCTTGATGTTACTCAGTGGAGAAGGAAGCCCATGAAGTTTTAAGTTAATGACTTCATGAACTGCAGTACTCAGAAAGTTCCTATTGCACTTGAGGATTTTACTGCTGCATTATCACTTTCTCAGTTCTACCCATCAGACTGAAGCTCAAGCTACAGCTCTAATTAAAAAAACAAACAAACAAACAAACAAAAAAAACCAACAAAAAACTAAAACTTCTAAATTGGACCTCAGTCCTGGAAATACTTCAATATTTATCTAGCTTTATGCCCCCTAAATAACCCTATTAATTTCAAATGAATACGTGCGTGATCTGGGCCTTACTGGGGCCAGTCGACTCCAGGGTTTCTTATAAGTCTCAAAGACTAACATTCTCTTACCATTAAGTAAGTTAAGACCTACTCTTGCAAATATTTTGTATGCAAAGCTTCCAAGACATTTCAGTAAAACCCTTGAGACATTTCATAGACTTGAAGGCAGGCATTGTGCTGAAATATCTTCTAGTTTAAGCTTCAGTCTCATAGTTATATTGGTCTTGGGTTCCATCAACATATTAAAATGTTACTTACCCTTTGTAAACTAAGACGACAAAGTTTATTCAATTTTACAATAACATTTACCTGTTACTCCTTTTAACGGACTTGTTCTCCCACGGTGGATCAATCACAATTACATCATACTTTTTGTCTGGGAAGTGAAATTACAGACAAAAAAAAAAAGAGGCAGTAAAGTAGTTTTAAAATATAAAGGCTTAACTACACACATACAGACAACATTTAAAGAGACAACTATGCAGCAAAACTGCAACTTCCTTCTGTTCTTTCCAAGTAAGAAGTTAAAAGGTTTCTAGCATGTTTGTTTTAATCCATACATAATCCATAATCATACACTTAAGAGATTTTTAGGCTGGTTACCTAAAGAAAGGACGTTTGTGATCTGTGTCAGATTTCTCCAAGAAATTTTGAGCATCTTGAGGACTTCCAGAAAAAAAAAACTGAGAGCAAAGTGCAAGTCTCAAAGATGAAAATTTCTCCAAGCTTTCTAACAGAAGCTATGTAATCAGGCACCCAGCTGAGTTAAAGGCTGCAGCCCTGAAAGCAAGACTCCTGTCCTGTTTGATCTTTCAGCAGGCCAATTGGGACATGCAGAGCTCCAAATCAGCCCCGGAAAACTGTGTTTTGCACTACTGGAGGTGAAGAGAGACAGAGAGCTAGACCTGGTGTGTGAAATGGCAATTAATGGACAAGA